CCTATAATACTCACTGTAGCATAGAATAGTGGCTAAGAGCAGAGGCAAAGTAAGCAGAGTGCTAGGCTTGAATCTGAGTTCAACTACTTGTGAACTGTGTGACTTTGAGTGTGGTTCTGGACATTTTTGGGCCTCAGTCCTAATGTGCAAAAGGGATGGAAATAGGAAACAATTCATATGGTTGTTATTTGGGTTAGGTAAAGTACCTGCAAAATTACTAGATAACATAGTAAGTAATTACTAGATAACAATTTGTAAAATAAATGAATAATGAAAAATAGCTGCTCACATAGAATGCAGATTTTAAACCATTGTAGTCTTTATAGTTTTATTGCCTTGAATTTCTGCTTCTGAATTTTAAATTTTATTATAAAAAGGACTTTAGTCTCTCTGCAGTATCATTTCAAATATTGTCCATATTCCGCAAATGTTTAAGATACGAAGTCGTTTTACCTGTATCTCAAATTGTTTGCATCTCATTTTTTTAATTTTAACTTTTGTAATTGTTTTAGTTCTGATACATTGGAATAAAAATTTCAAAAAAGTTGTTTTAGTGGGTATGACTTTTATTTTCATCCAGCAAAAATGTATTTAAATAAAAAAGACAAAAATCATATTTTAAATATTCCTCCATAAAAGGAGAAGGAATTCCTCTCCTTCTAATGGCAGAAAAGATAGACTAGAGATTGTCTAGTGGTCCCACAAACAAAATTTCATAATATCTTGTTTTATCCTTAAAGATTTTATACCTTGTTCTGTAATATAGTTCTGTTTATTTTATTTTAAAGTATATTTTTACCCCCTACAAAGGGCTTTTATCGAAGTAGCAGGACATCTTATTTTCAAGCCTGGGTAGGATTTTTATACTTGCCTCAAATTCAGGAAGTACAAAACAGTTTATATGAGTCAAAATCATCACAATCTATCACTCACTTGTCTATAACAATTTATTAATGTGTTAATATACATTTTCAACATATAATTGCACAATATTACAAACTCAACATAGAAATCTACTTTCAAAACAAACTTTTTCTTTGCTCCTTCCTGTCCTCAAATTTTTCCCCTATGATTGACTGAGTTACTTCAAAAACATCAAGTTTGTATATTTGAACTTATCACTGTTTATTTGGACTATTTCAAAAAGCAAGAAAATTCAAAATAATGCTGTTGGGATTTACCCATTCATTAATTGATAGACATTTGAGTTATTTTCTCTATTATAGTAAAACTGCTATGAAAGTTCAGATTCAAATTTTTGCATAGATGTGTATTTTCATTTCTTTTGTGTTATATACTTAAGAGTAGAGTTGTGGGTCATAGGAAAAATTTATGGTTAAATTTTTAGGTATTCTTAAACTTTTTTCTAAAGGGGCTTCACTAATTTACATTCCTTTCAGCAAAATATGAAGGTTCTCCATACACTTGTTATTGTCTTTTAGATTATAGCCCTCCTACTGAGTGTGAAGTGGCACCTCATTGAGTTAATCTTTTGCATTTCCCTAATGACTAATAATGGTGAACATTTTTTTCATGTGCAGATTGGCCATTTGTTTATTGTTTTGGGGTGAATTATTTATTCAAATCTTTTGAACTTAAATTTTTTATTCTTTTATTGTTGAGTAGTAAGACTTCCTTTATATGATATTTGCAAATATTTTCTAACATTCTGCTGGTTGTCATTTTATTTTCTTAATAGTGTCTTTCTAAAAACAAATTTTTATGTAATTGTGATGAAGTCCACTTTATTTTTTTGGTTGCTTATGCATTAGGTATCCTATCAAAGAAAACATTGCTTACTTAAGTCAAGGTCACACAGATTTACACTTGTGTTTTCATCTAAGAGTTTTATATTTTTAAGTCTTACATTGTCTTTAATCCATTTTGATTTAATTTTTGTATATGATGTAGGAGTTCTGATCACTTTTGCAGATTCCTTAGCTTCATTGTATAGAGAATCTTTTTTTTTTTTTTCTTTTGAGAATAGTTTTATTCCAGATTTGTTGTTCCTTAAGCTCATACATTTGAGTGTATGACTGGGGGATAGGTCTAGACTTTGGAAAAAAATGGAATTTTTGGGAGATGTATGACTTGGGGATAGGTCTAGACTTTGGAAAAAGAAACTGAATTTTTGGGAGATGTATCTGAGTCTAGCCACATAGTCCTTATAGCAAAGCTTATTGGTAAAGTATCTCTCTCTCTCTCTGTTACTCTTTGTATATTTACTTCCAAATTGCAGAGCATGCTCAATCAGGTTTATAAAGTGATATAAATTAAACTCTTTAAATACATGAGTGATCCAATATGGCAGCTCTCTTTGGATTGTGTGTAAGGCTCAGGGAGCTTATACCTTCTTTGGCATGTAGAACTAGATTCTTAGGGTGGTAGAACATCTAGAAAATTATGAGAGTGGATAGAGTTATCAGAAAGAGCAGACTGGAAAGGATTTGGAAGATGGATCGATAAACTAGGCAATCAAGTACATCAGAGTTGAGAAGTATAATTTTGTTATGTCTTTTAATTCTAAAAGTAATTAATGATCACTATAAAAAGTGTAAACAGTAAAAACATAAAAAACCCCAAATATCCACATTTTTATAGCCAGCAGGACATGACTACTGAACATGTGTTACCACAATAAGAAAATGACATTATGAAACATCTGAGGTGGGGCAGCCAGGGTGGCTCAGCGGTTTAGTGCTGCCTTCAGCCCTCAGGTGGAGACCTGGGATTGAGTCCCACGTCAGACTCCCTGCATGGAATGGAGCCGGGTTCTCCCTCCGCCTGTGTCTGTGCCTCTCTCCCCCCCCCCCCCCCCCCCCGCCCCGTGTCTCTCATGAATAAATAAATAAAATCTTAAAAAAATCTGAGGAAATATGAATAAGGTACAGATTTTAATTAACAATTACATATATGTGTATATATATGTGTGCATATATATACACATATATATGCAATAAATAAATATGTGTATATATTACATATATTACACACTCAGTAGGAGGGCTATAATCTAAAAGACATATATTACATACATACACACACACACACACACACACACACACACCCAATTTTCATTTCCTAGTGAAAGTTACCACTATAATATTTGGGGCAATTTGAAGAGCTAATAACACTTTCACAGAGTTTTAGTCTGAACCAAGCCCTGTTCTATATATACATGTTAACTTATTTAGCTGTCAAATCCTTGTATAAGTACAATTCCTCCATATTTTACAAATTAAAAAAAGGCTCAGAAAGATAAATTGCCTAAAGTAACATTGCTGTCAAGTTTCAAAAGTATAATTTGAATCAAACAAATCTGAGTCCAAGGTGGTTTTCATCACTAACTGTAGTGGTGTGTGTTCTTCATACATTTTTTCAATATGCATGTAAACATATTTACATAAAATATCCACATAGCATTAATTTTATATAATATATTCCTTTTTTTGCTCTTCTGATCAGAGTTGACTTTCTATGGGTAGGGGAGTAAATAGTGAATAGTCAACACTACTTTTGGGGAAGTATGTTATGAACTCCTTATGTTACTTCACAAGAATGTGTAAAAAATGAACTGTTAGTCAATTTTGTAAATCAAAATCTGCTTATTTTTATTTTTTTTATTTAAACAAATTTTTTAAAAAGATTTTATTTATTCATGAGAGACACAGAGAGAGACAGAGACACAGGCAGAAGGAGAAGCAGGCTCCCTGCCAGGAGCCCAATGCAGGACTCCATCCCATAACCAGGATCACACCTTGAGCCAAAGGCGTATGCTCAACTGTTGAGCCACCCAGGCATCTCTCAAAATCTGTTTAATATTGATAGTTTCAAGTGATTCATTCTTTATATGAGCCATATTTATATATATATCAGCCTATTATTTATATGTAAACATTTATTTTTATATATCTATAAAATAGATGCATCTTTCATGAGGCACATTAGTTTCCAATATTTTATTATGATAGATGTCTGCATTAATATGTCTCTTCACACTTGTTTGTATAGTATGACTCGGAACAAAGCACTAGCTTAGGAGGATGGGGAGGGGATTTTAGCCATTTAGTCATCATTAGCCCACCCTCACCCTGAGTTCTTTGACATGGAGAATTGTGAAAACAACAATGCTATGTAAAATTCTATGCAACTTAGCTCCAGGATTACTTCCTTAGCTTTTACTTCCTAGCATTTTCTTTTTCCATGTTACACATAGGTAACGATTTGGGAGTTACTAAAGTGTCCCTTAAACCTGTAGCTGCTGTTATATGAAAAAACCAAAATCATTGTATCTACTTATTCATCCCTGTTGTATGAAACTGCCATTTCCCCCACTCTAGTTATCACTGATTATAAGTAAAAATTTCAACGTACCGATGTAAAAGGTTTTATGTAGGAATCCAAGTTCATTTTTCGTTTTATATGAAATGAGTAACCAACTTTCCTAATTACTTACCCATTCTGTATTGGAGAGTTTAATTGTATCATAACTGTTTTGTCATCTTTTTTCACAATTTGCAAAAAAAAAAATTTTTAGAAAGCAGAAAAAGGGGAAAAGAAACCCAACAAAATTCAAACAATGTATATTTTAAAAGAGATTTTCTTCTAGACTGGGCTTTGATTATCTGGCAATATTGCATTGACTGTGCTTTTGCATCAATTTAACTTTTCCAAATCAGCATTTCTGACATGGTCTACAGGAAGACACCAAGGTGATTGTTATCAGGATTGTTTGGCTCACGGTGCCTGCAAAGGTTTATCTCAACATTTTACACACATTAAAAAGGGGAGAGAGAGACTTTGTCATTAACCCCAAGGTGGTGGTGCAGTCCCTGAGGTCTCATTCTCCAGGTGCTAACTCTCTGGCTATTCAGAATCCATCTACTCCTGCTGGCAGGGGTACTACTGGCCTGCCCGCACTGCGGCAGGACCTCAGCACTGCGGCAAACTGTTGCGCTTGCGCAGTCTGCAGGAGGGGCGTCTTGCTGCGCATGCGCAGGTAGAGCTGGCGTGACTGGTTGGCTTTGGCGCAGTGACTTGGGCGCAGAGTGGAGTGGTCGCCGGAGATGCGTGACTGTCTGTTCTGAGGAGCGGCTAACAGCGCGATGGAGCGGGCCAGGTCAGCTGTGTGTCCATCTGCCCTTACAGACAACCTGGGGAATAGTCGCTTTGTTCGTTCAGTGTTCCACGTTCGCGGAACTTACCGCGTTGTATATACTCGGAACCCGGGCTCTGAAGTCTTTGTTCCGGAGAACAAGGGGGCACCTTGCGGGTCTGAGGGTCCGTTGTACCTCCCTGGACGGTGCCCTCTCCGTCTCCTGTGAGAGATCTGTCCTCTCACATCAGATCCTTTCTGCACTGGCCTTTTGTCCTTGAGAGATCTGAGGCCATGACCATGGCTGCGGTGGGTGCAAATGGCAGGGAGATGGGGGGGGGGGTCGGTGGGGTTCCGAAGTGCAAAAGACGGGGTGACTGTGCTGTCTGGGAGGTAGCAGAGCGGCCACAGTGGCGAGAAGGAGGGGTCCTCAGGGTGAAGTGTCCCCTGCGGTATGGCCGCCATGGTAGGGGGGGTAGGAAGTCGGCTGTTCATGGTGGTGGTAAGGGGTTGGCCAGGGCGGCAGTATTGGAGGTTTGGGGGTCCACCAGGTGATGCCTGTGGCAGTCATAGGGAAGTGATGGCCGGGTGATCAGCAGCGAAGTGGCCGTCACGGTGGGGTAGGGAGGGGCAGTTCTAGGAGGAGCGGCGGAGTGGCTGACAGGGCAGTGTTGGGGGGGGGGCGGCGGCAGGGAGACCACCATGAGGGCCGTAGAGAGGCTGGCGTGGTGGACCAGTGACCCTCTTGGATGTGGTGTGTGCGGGGGGCAGGGAGGCGGCCGCGATGGTGGTGATGGGAGGGGCGGCCAGGGGTGGTGGTGATGGTGATGGCGATGGCGGTGTGCGGGCGGGTTCCAGGGGCGGCGATGGTGGTGGTCTGTGCCGGATCCCTGGAAGAGCGGTCACCGTGGTGGTGGTAATGGTGACGTGTGGTGTGATAATGGTGGGTGTGTGGGATCTGGAGGCGGTGGGAGGTGGCGGTGGTGGTGGTGATGGTGTGATGTACATCAGATATCCCTGGAAGAGCGGTCACTATGGCAGTGATGGGAGGATCGGTGGGGGTGATGGTGATGATGATGGCGTGGTGTTGGGATCCCTGGAAGAGCGGTTCTCACCGCAGGGCAGACGGAGCGTGGTAACGGGGTGCAGGCAGTGCACAGTCTGGTGAAGGGCAGACCGTGGGGACAGCAGGTGGTCCACAGCGCTGAGCAGAAGAGGGGCGAACGTCCAGTTCTCTGACCCGAGGCCGTCTTAAGAGTTGGTATCAGGGCGAACCAGTGGTCCATTGCTCACCGGAAGCGGTAGCTGAAGAGATGTTTGTCTTTGGATATTTTACTCGTTTGTAATTGCTCACTTTTGTGGTTCTGGCGTAAGATTCAGGCAATGGTATGCAGAGCTTACGCGCGGCGTGTCGAGTTCCAGGATGTAGTGCCGGAGAGGTGGGGTCTTCCCTGCATTCCGTGTACGGTCTGCAGGGCTCTGGTGGTGCCGCGTCACAGCCATTGTGAGGCTCGCCAAGATGGCTGCCACTGCAGAGCTGTGGATGTGCGCAGGCGTGAGGGGGGGCGCATGGCGGGAGGTGGGGAGAGGGGATGGAGGGGTGGCAACCGGCCCCGTGCCCCTGCCGCAGTAGGGGAGGGCGGCCTCCGCAGCTCTCCCGACGCGGCCGGGTCTGCAGCGTCTTCAGAGCGCAGGGCTGAGGAGAGGAGGCTGCCTGGCGGGCGGCGAGCCCCTCCCCAGAGTGCCGCAGTGGGGGAGGCTGTGGGCTCTGGATGCGCGGGCGCAGCTGGGATGGGCGGGCCCCCGGGAGGTGTGTGTGCATTGTCTGCGGGGCGTGGTGGGCAGCTACCCCGTCACCTGTCTGTTCCGACGGCTGCAGTGGGTGCAGGGAGAGAAGACGTGGGTTTGCTGAGCGTGTACCGTGGCTGCCCTTCCCTGTGAGGCCACACTGCGTTGCAGAGGGCGAGAAGGCAGTGCGTTCGTGTCTCTGTTGCCCGTGTGCACCAGCCGCAGTGCTGCTTCCCTGCCTCTCCGCTTCAAGGTGGAAGAGAAAGGGCCTGCAGGCAGGGTGGAAGGGCGAGGTCATCCCTGCATCCGGAGTGCCACCTCAGGCGGCCTCCATTCCTGGTGAAGATTTTAAATGTTTTCAGAGAGGTCCCCCCTTTCATTGTCGTAGATTTCCCAGGTTGTATTATCAACAGTCTAGTTCTTGATATTCAGAGGGGATCCAGTCACCTTTGAAACAACGCCCTTTTACAACATTTTACTTTCGTGTTCCAGATTGGGTAATCCCACAGCTGCAGCACCTTCAAGAGTCAATTTCTTAGTCTCTGGATATTCTTTTTGTGATGCTGCCTTTATGTTCAGTTTCCTTAAACCGGGGGGTCAGGGCTCCTGCAGGGTTCGTAGAAGCTGAGAGCTATAGGCTGTTTGCTGAAGGGGAGCAGAACAGAGACTCAGAAGATTAGAACGCTTCACGGCTGTAAGTATGTGCGCTGGATCAGGGAAACCTTGCCTGGGTCAGATTCTTAGTGATGCTATTGAAGCATCGTTTTTGAAGTTTGAGCTACTGTGAAAAATTGGGTGAGAATGAATAATTAACAAGTTAACTATCCGGTATTCTGTATTCCACCTTTGCGTATAGGTGGGCATTTTCAAGAACTTCATTTTTCCCCCCACAATGTTGATAGGCTGGCCTTTTTTCCTCTATCAAACAGGATGTCTGCTTGTGCTGTGTTGGAATGTAATTAAGGAAAACCTAAACCCAGAAACCTTGGAAAGTTCTGTTATGGATTGTTCCTTTGAGTAGTTTTAAAAAACAGGCTGGAAGTCTGTTATACTTACTATTTGTTTATTTTCCGCACTTGTATACACATACTGCTTCAAATAATTTCATTTTGCTTTGACATCTGATCCCTTTGGCTCCTCGCAGGTCCAGCATGTACTGCGCTGGTCAGGGCGGCCATTTTGTGGTTGGTGGTGCAGGCTCAGGGTCTCAACATGGCAGGCACTGTGGTCAGACCTGGGCATGTGGTCAGGGCGGCCATTTTGTGGTCCGTGGCGGAGGCTCTCAACATAGCGGGCCCTGTGAGCAGACCTGGGTATGTGTTAGGGGTCAGTGCGGCCATTTTGTGGTCCGTGGCGCAGGCTCAAGGTGTCAACATGGCGGGCCCTGTGGGCAGACCTGGGTAGGTGGTCAGGGTCAGTGCGGCCATTTTGTGGTCCGTGGCACAGGCCCAAGGTCTCAACATGGCGGACCCTGTGGGCAGACCAGGGTAGGTGGTCAGGGTCAGCACGGCCATTTTGTGGTCAGTGGCGCAGGCTCAGGGTCTAAACATGGCGGGCCCTGTGGGCAGACCTGGGTATGTGGTCAGGGTTAGTGATACCTGAGAATGACTGGGCAGTGGGAACCCTGTCTGTAGTTAGTGCTCAGAAACAATCAGGGACTGTGGTATGGCTAAAGCAAGGGACTATCTGGCTGGGGCTTCTTCAGTTTATTTTGTGTTATCTTGGTTTGCCCAGTGCATCTGTCTAGTGCTCCATTGCTCATACTTTCCTCTATCTGGTGATGCTGGATTTTTATTCCTCCCTTTTCTCTCAATATGCTCAGATTTGTTGCTGAAAAATTCCACATTTAAGATGTCAGAGCCTCAAAGTTAATTTTTTGGGGGTGGGTGGGTGGGGAGTTTAGTTGACACACAATGCTTCATTAGTTTCAGGTGTACAAGGTCGTGATTCAACAGCTCCATGTTGTGCAATGTTCACAAGTGCAGTTACTATGTCATTATGCAGTGCTGTGAACAGTACACATCATTGACTACACTTTCTCCTCCTGTAGCTGGAAGCCTGTACCTCCCACTCCCTTCTCCATGGTAACCAGCAGTTTTCATCTTGGTATTTTTGGGTATCTCTTTGTGTTTGTTTTAGTCCCCCCCCTTTTTTTTTATTCCACAGGTAAGTGAAATAATAAGATATTTGGCATTTTCTGACTTATCTCACTTACATCCTTTGGGTCCATTCATCCTGTTAAAAATGGCAACATTTTCTTTGTGGCTGAGTAATAGTCATTGTGTATATATATATATGTATTTATATACTGCAGCTTCTTTTTCGATTCATCTATTGATAAACATGATTGTTTTAGTGACTTGGCTATATAAGTATTGGTACAGTCAACTAGGGTACATGTATCTTTATGAATTAGTGCTTTTGTTTTCTTTGGGTACATACTTAGGTGAAATTACTGTATCATGTAATATTTCTGTTTTTAATATTTTGAGTAACCTATATACTGTTTTCTACAGTGATTGTACCGGTTTTCTTTCCCACCAGGAGTGCATGAGTTTTCATTTTTCCACCTCTTCCCCAACAGTTACTTCTTGTCTTTTTTGATACTCACTATTCTGATTGGTTTGAGATGATGCCTCGATATGGTATTGATTTGCATTTTCCTGAGGCTTAGTGATGTTGAGCATCTTTTTATGTATCTGTTAGCCTGCTATCTTTGAAAAACAATGTTCAGTTCCTCTGCCTATTTTTTAATGAGTTTTTTTTCATTTCTGTGTGTGTGCACATGTTGGATTTTTAAATTTTATATATTTTGGATATTAACCCTTTATCACATTTATCATTTGCAAATACCAGTTCCCATTCAGGTGGCCTGTTCATTTTGTTGATATTGTCCATTGCTGTTCAAAAGCTTTTTATCTTTTTCCCTTGCCAGAGGAGACCTAAGGAGGAAAATGTTGCTAAAGCCAACGTCCAAGAAATTACTGCTTATATTTTCTTTGAGTTTTATGATTTTAGGTTTCACATTTAGATCTATAATCCATTTGTAGTTTCATCACTTACTTCGGCAGTGCACTCTGCTGCTTAGTTATATTTAGGAAGAATCCTTGAAGTAAGCAGGGTATGAGTATTGTCTCAACATGACAGGAACAACGAGGTTTTTGATCTTAAGTGTACCTTAACGAATTTAATACTGGTCTCCTTTCACTTTTGTGGCCCAGAGCCAGAAAGCTTGAGTAAGAGTTGGTGGTGGCTAAGATTGTCTCTTTCAGTAACAAATTTTGTGTAGGCCAGTTACTTCTTTTGCCTTCTAGTTCCTGAGTGTTGGCTGGATTAGAATTTCCTATTTGGTGGTTCCACAAATTTTGGTTGGGAGGCTCTGATTTTCTTTATGGGAAGATATGTAGACTGATATTAATTACCTCACACGTTATGTTTTCTTCTTATTTTTCATTTTGAGATCTTAGTAGTTGAATTTTTATTAGTTTTTTTTGGCAGGATATAAGGCATTAAATATTTGATAATGTTAGGCTATTTGGAAAAACATTGTATAGTGTCATCACTTGTTGCTTCTCTGTGTTATTTCCAAATCAGTATTATTATTTTTTAAATAATAAATTTATTTTTTATTGGTGTTCAATTTACCAACATACAGAATAACACCCAGTGCTCATCCCATCAAGTGCCCCCTTCAGTGCCCGTCACCCGCTCACCCCCACCCCCTGCCCTCCTCCCCTTCCACCACCCCTAGTTCGTTTCCCAGAGTTAGGAGTCTTTATGTTCTGTCTCCCTTTCTGATATGTCCCACACATTTCTTCTCCCTTCCCTTATATTCCCTTTCACTATTATTTATATTCTTCAAATGAATGAGAACATGCACTGTTTGTCCTTCTCCAATTGACGTACTTCACTCAGCATAATACCCTCCAGTTCCATCCACGTTGAAGCAAATGGTGGGTATTTGTCATTTCTAATGCCTGAGTAATATTCCATTGTATACATAAACCACATCTTCTTTATCCATTCATCTTTCGATGGGCACCGAGGCTCCTTCCACAGTTTGGCTATTGTGGACATTGCTGCTATAAACATCGGGGTGCAGGTGTCCTGGCATTTCATTGCATCTGAATCTTTGGAGTAAATCCCCAACAGTGCAATTGCTGGGTCCTAGGGCAGGTCTATTTTTAACTCTTTGAGGAACCTCCACAAAGTTTTCCAGAGTGGCTGCACCAGTTCACATTCCCACCAACAATGCAAGAGGGTTCCCTTTTCTCCGCACCCTCTCCCAACATTTGTGGTTTCCTGCCTTGTTAATGTTCCCCATTCTCCCTGGTATGAGGTGGTATCTCATTGTGGTTTTGATTTGTATTTCCCTGATGGCAAGTGATGCAGAGCATTTTCTCATGTGCTTGTTGGCCATGTCTATGTCTTCCTCTGTGAGATTTCTCTTCATGTCTTTTGCCCATTTCATGATTGGATTGTTTGTTTCTTTGCTGTTGAGTTTAAGAAGTTCTTTATAGATCTTGGAAACTAAGCCCTTTATCTGATACATCATTTGCAAATATCTTCTCTCATTCATTTTTTTAAATGAAAGTAATTTTGGAGCAAAAAAACTAACTGTGCACATACATTTCCCTGGTATTTGTATTCATTTTTTTAGTATTATTTTCTTTTTAAGATTTTATTTATTTATTTGTGAGAGACGCAGAGAGAGAGAGAGAGACAGAAGGAGAAGCAGGCTCCATGCAGGGAGCCTGATGTGGGACTCCACCCAGGTCTCCAGGATCACACTCTGGGCTGAAAGTGGTGGTAATCCACTGAGCAACCCAGGCTGCCCTGTATTCATTTTTGAAGTAAGTTCTTTACCCAGTGTGGGGCTTGAGCTCACAACTCTGAAATCAAGAGTCACATGCTCTACTAACTGAGCCAATCAGGCACCCCATCTTTTATTTTCCTTTATTATTTACTTATTTAAGATTTTACTTTTAGGTAATATCTACACCCAATGAGGGGCTAGAATCCTCAATCTACAGATGAAGAGTTAAATGCTTTACCTGAGTCAGCCAGGCCTCCCCTCTTTTTTTCCCTTTAAATGCTTATTTTCTGAAAGCTGATTTTTAGGTTGAGAATACAGGAGAATTATAATGTATAAATGTACATATATTTGTTTATTTAAAATTATTTTTTAATAATACATTTATTTTTTATTGGTGTTAAATTTGACAACATACAGAATAACACCCAGTGCTCATCCCGTCAAGTGCCCCCCCCTTAGAACAAAGTTCTAGATTATCAAAACAAAGCTGTTCCTTGATTATCTTACATGTAACATTAAAATGGATTTAGAAAATTTAATACTTTTATGTGCTGGTTCCTTTCTTCAATGAACTCAGACGTTTTCATACTGAGCAACTGCTATGAAAGGGATAAAGGAACTGAAATTTTTAGTTTTTTAAAGGTTTTTTTGGTAATGAGTTATTTTTAATAAACTATTAATCATAATTGATGGTCTTACAATGTAGTGGTCCATGATAGTTCTTTATTATATAATTTTAATGTTTTAATGAATATATTTGTGAAACTCTTTCATCTATAAATACTTCATTCCTCTTCAGGACTGAATGACAGACATTCCATTGTACTGAATATACAATACCACACCATATTTTATCTATTTTTTAGTGGTTCTATTTTGGGTTGTTTCCACTCTTTGGCACTTTGATTAATGCTGCTAGGAACCTTCACACTCAAGTTTATGTTTTTATTTTACTCCCTCTAGGATTGAAATTACGATGTCAAATGCAAACTACCTGGTTCACATTAGGAAGTGCCAGAGGCTCCACCATTTCATATTCCCACTACCAGTTTCTCCACCTCCTCCTCCACTCCTGAGGTGTGAAGTAGTGTGTTTGTAGTTTTGATTTGCATTTCCCTAGTGGCTATAGTGATATTAAGTATCTTTTCTTGTGCTGATACAAATTTGTAAGTCTTTGGAAATCAATCTGTTCCAGTTTTTCACCTATTTTTAAATGGAGTTTTTTCATTTTATTACTGAGTTCTAAGAGTATTTAAAATATTCTGCATACTGGGCTTTAATCAGCTACGTGAATTGAAGATATTTTCTCCCATTTGGCCAGTTGTATTTTCACTTTCTTAATAGTATATTTTGAAGCAAATCCTTTTTATTTTTTTAATTTTTATTTTTTACTTTTGATGAAATCCAATTTATGGATTCCTTTGTCTGGTACTTTAGGTATCTAAGAAACCATTGCCTGATCAAAGGTCAAGGAGATGAGCAAATTCTATACTTTTATTATTTAAAAATCTCATGTACATTTTTAAATGATTTCTATTGCTTGATTGGAAAAATGTAGTTTTTGAAGCAATAAAACAACTTGGGCTTATTGAAAAGCTATTTGATTGGTTACCTTGCACAATATAGCATGAATTTTAAAATAGCAAGGGTTCAAAGAATTAGTTTTGGGGATGCTTCATTTGAATTCTGTTGAAATATATGCATGACTTTCATAAAATGATTTTTCTTCTTTCCTTTCTGATAAGCATTGTTAAATTGCAGTTTTAAGAGTCGTTCTTGTAGTTTCTAACATGGATGACCCAGGTGGGAGATTTCATATTCAGATCCCTTGAGCAGCCATTTTGTGAGTTCTGCAGTCATAAGATGGTGGTAGCTGTGTTGGTTTTATGTATTTATTTTTTGCTTAAGCAACCTTTTATTTTTTGTTTTGCAAACCCTAGGAAAATAACATTTCAACAAGAGGTTGCTTGTAGAAATTGTATAATTTAAACTTTATGCTTTATTCCATTATACTAAAACATTGTCCTAATAAAATATTTTCCAACATTACTATTTTTTCATGGTATGTAGGTATGGGTAGTATGTCAGTGTATATAAATATGTTTCTGCAAATGTATAGTTTTATATCTGTATATGAAAAAGTAAGTGGAAATGAATATTTTCTTTTTGCCTAATTCTCTGATATCTCCATCACTCCCAGTTTTCTGATGTCAGGAGCATTTTTTTTTTAAGATTTATTTATTTGAGAGAAAGAAACAGAAGGTGCTTGCAGGTAGGGAATGGGGCAGAGGGAGAGACTCTGAAGCAAACTAGCCACTGTGCCCCATATGGGACTTGATGTCACCACCCTGAGATCATGACCTTGCCATTCTGAGATCACCAACTAAGTCAAAACCAAGAGTCAGATCCTCACTTGAGCCACCCAGGCACCCCTGATGTTAATGGACTACTAATGGGAGAAAGAGGCTTTAGGATAGATCCTGACTATTGCAGGATTTTCTCATTTAAATTTTGCCTCATTTCCTTTCCCCCATTTTTATTGAGATATAGTTTACATACATTACTACCTTGTTTTAATTAGATTACAAGTACTTTAAGTACTCTATTATATAAAAATAGTTCTAAGTACAGCCTTTAAATAAGTGGTTATTTTAAGGTTGATGATGGATGTCCCCTACTTCAGGGACCGCTTACACCTGAGACGGACTACGGAACAGCACGTCCCAGAGGTGGAAGTCCAAGTCAAACGTAGAAGGACAGCCTCACTGAGCAACCAAGAGTGAGTATAGTGTGGCTTGAGAACCAATTTAGTTTAGAATTCTTGTTCATATTGGGATGGAATATCCTGCAATGAAGGGTACTGAAATTAATTTAATGAAAGAAACCTATGCTTATAATATAGAATATAGAACAAAACAGTGGAATCAACCTTAACCATGTAGTACTAACTTTTGTAAAAATTTTAGTAAAAGGCATTTTTTCCCAAATGTGTAGGTGGATTTTATCTTAATAAAATTCTTCATCCTTAACCTTTAATATTTGTTATTTCTGTTTTATTCATATTGTTACTAAATCACTTCTTTGTTTGCCAAATTTTTTATGAATTGATGGAATGCTAATTTATATATTCATACTTAATGTTGCACTATCCAGATTTTTATTTCGGGTAAAAAATACATTTATCCAATTAAAAACTTGAAATGAATGTAGTTGTTCCTTTCCTTACATAGGATATTTATGCATGGATACACTTTTATTTTTAAAAATTTTTTTAAAGACTTATTTATTTATTTTAGAAAGAGTGCAAGAGTGAGCAGGGGAGGGGCAGAGGGAGAGAGAGAGTTGCCACCAGACTCCCCACCAAGCAGAGAGCCTGATAGGGGAGACTATCCTACAACTCCAAGATCATGTACCGACCTGAAATCAAGAGTCAGACACTTAACCAACTGAGCTACCTAGGCACCCCTACATACTTTTAAATTTAGCTTTCCAGAAGGATTACTTTAATGCAAAATATACCAACATTTTAATGACCTGACACATACTGGTATTTATTGGATCTTGTATTTTGTTATTATCATGTATCTTGACAGAATCAATGGGTAACATTTTTCTTCCTTTGCCAAAGCTGTTTTATTTATTTTCCAAAATTACAAGTATTAAAAATACATGAATATTATATATTCATGTACATGTATATTGTATGTATGTTATAAAACATAACTTTGAGATAAAAAGTATCTACGTCAAATTACCAGCAGTCCATTCCCTCCATTGTCCTTCCCTGCCTAGAGATCATCTACAGGTATGTAGATGTCTGTACTTTAAGACCTTTCCTATTCATTCATGTGTATGCACACATGGAAGGAAGAAGGGAGAGAGGCATACTTTTGATCTGCTTACATCTATGAGATTTATTGTTCTGCAGCAATATGTCTTGGAGATCTATGTCATTGCATGTAAATACCTTATTATATAAATTGTAGAGTATAGGTAGCATAAATAATTTCATTTATCATTAGCTTAAAGTTGGTTAACGGGTTTGCATTAGCTATTAACAAAGATACAGAAGTCAATTTGAAAATTAATATTTGTTATTAATATTACTTACATTTTATTTTACTTAAATATAAGGCTTTACAAAGCTATTATAAGATGGGGGTAGAATTTTGTTTTCTATTTTTGTTACTCATTTTTGTGGGAAAGTTGCAAGACGTTCATTTACACATTAAATTACTGATGAGGCTAATGATATCCCCATTTTCTCTGTTTATTTTATTCTTTTGAGCTCATAATTCTTTTATTACATTTTTATTTGAGGAATTACTTTTATTCCCTTTTTTTGGTATATTTTTTATTGCAGTTCGATTTGCCAACATATAGTATAACACCCAGTGCTCATTCCATCAAGTGCCCTCCTCAGGGCCTATCACCCAGTCACCCCATCCCCTGCCCACCTCCCCTTCCACTACCCCTTGTTCATTTCCCAGAATTAGGAGTCTCTTCTGTTCTGTCACCCTCTCTGATTTTTCCCACTCATTTTCTCCCCTTTCCCCTTTAATCCCTTTCACTATTTTTTATATTCCCCGTATGAGTGAAAAGAGATGATGTTTGTCCTTTGATTGACTTATTTCACACAGCATGATACCCTCCAGTTCCATCCACAGCAAAGCAAATGGTGGGTATTCATCATTTCTGATGGCTGAGTAATATTCCTGTGAGTATATATATTATATATATATAACTACTACATCTTCTTTATCCATTCATCTGTCGATGGACACCGAGGCTCCTCCCACAGTTTGGCTATAACTGCTATAAACATTGGGGTGCAGATGTCTCGGTCTTTCACTGCATCTATATCTTTGGGGTTAAATCCCCAGTAGTGCAATTGCTAGGTGGTAGGGTAGCTCTAGTTTTAACTCTTTGAGGAACCTCCACACAGTTTTCCAAAGTGGCTGCACCAGTCCACATTCCCACCAACAGTGCAAGAGGGTTCCCCTTTCTCCACATCCTCTCCAACATCTGTTGTTTCTTGTCTTGTTAATTTTCACTCGTCTCACTGGTATAAAAAAGATTTTATTTATTTGAGAGACAGAGAGAGAGAGAAAACGTGCATGCAAAAAGCAGGTGGAGGGGGCAGAGAGGAGAGGAGAAGCTGACGTGACTCTCCCTACCACTAACCACCACTGATGAGGGAGCCTGATGGACTCAGTCCCAGGATCCTGAGATCATGACCTGAGCTAAAGGCAGACACTTAACTAACTGACTGAGCCACCTGGGTGCCCCCTTTCCTGTTTTTTGATGTATTATAAATTTGAGAGAATTTGGAGGTTGGGGTTGGAGAGTCTATTTTATGCAAACTTTTAGATGTTCTAAATTATATTCTGCATTTTATGAAATGAATGTTATGTGTACTGTATTCGATGTTCCCAGTTTTAGTTTGCAGTTGGGTTTCAGGTTAAACACAAGAGGAACACTCCAGTAGCTTTTTAAAAACTAAAAATTTTTTTTATCTGAAACATTTTTTAGAACTGATTAAGTCAGATTTTCAGTTACCCTTTGGTAATAAAGGATTGGACTAAGAATGCCTAAATAAAAGTGGGCTATTTTTGAAAGCATGAGCAGTGTAATTCAGACTCTTAATGGAGTTAGTGCAGATTTGACACATTAAGGGTACAGTGCCTCCATAAGATTACCTTCATCAGATACCATCCAGCTGCAAAACCCCAGATTTTCTAGGCCCCCTGCACTTCTCAACAGCTGGATATAGATTCAAGATTTCCACTATTTCCTCAGGTTCCATAACTTGCTAGAATGATTCACAGCACTCAAGAAAAACACTGTGCTTACTATTAAGTTTACTATAGGGGATACAAATCAGGATAAGCCAAATGAAGAGATTCATAGGACAAGATCTGTAACTTGATGTCCTTCGGATAATACTCTCAGCACATTAGTGTATATATATCACCAACTGGGAAACTGACTAGACCTTTGGGTGCCTTCTAAAGTTTTACTAGAGTTTCATTACTAAAAATGATTGAATCATTGATCATGTGATCAGGAACTCTATCTCCCTTGATGCTGTCCTTTCCCAAGAGGTCAAGTCCAAGGCCCCACACTCTAATCACATGGTTGGTCTTTTTGGCTTTGCCAGCCCCTATCCTGAATCTTCTTGTTAGCTTTAGCTCCAGTATGATCCAAGGGGCTCACCAAGAATAATGAAGATACTTCTATCACTTGGTAAATTCAAGGATTTAGAGGTTATTTCCCAGGAGTCCTGGACAAAGTCTAACCTAATTCTTTATTATATAACAATACTAAAAATTTCATTTAAAAACTGTATAAAGGGATCCCTGGGTGGCGCAGCGGTTTGGCGCCTGCCTTTGGCCCAGGGCGCGATCCTGGAGACCCGGGATCGAATCCCACGTCGGGCTCCTGGTGCATGGAGCCTGCTTCTCCCTCTGCCTGTGTCTCTGCCTCTCTCTCTCTCTCTCTCTCTCTCTCTCTCTCTGTGTGTGTGACTATCATAAATAAATTAAAAAAAAAATAAAAAAAAAAATAAAAAAAAATAAAAACTGTATAAAAATAATGCAATAAACCTTTTTTTCAGGCTCATTTCCAAATCTAACTGCTGTGTAGATCTATATTTATATACATATACACATGTATATATATACACATACACATTTAACAAGGGCAGAATTGGTGGTGATTTTTTTTCATGCTTGTCTTTGTTATCTAGTAACACTTCCTACATCATCATTCTCAGAATTAGATTCACAGCCAGATTACTGATCCAAAGAGATACGTTGAGGACTTTTCATCTGGAATTCCCTTCTAATAGGTAGTCAGTTTATATAGTTTGAGATCCGAAAAACTTGGGCTCTGGTAGTTCCTTGTTTTAGGTGGTAACTCATCAGAGTATCATTATGGATAACAACAGCCTTAATTGCTGGAATTGACTTAGCAAATACCTCCTTGCTAGGGGCTAAAGAATTATTTCCATATAGGGTTAGAAAGTGAGTAATGGATATGGTTCTAATGGTTTTTCCACAGGGCTTTTTAAAACAAAACTTTTTAAGTTTCTTGGGTGCTATCCCCCCAATAGTTCCTCTGTTCCTTGCACATTCCTGTGTAGATTGGAGACTCCTGTTTCTTATAGTCTCTTCATAAGGTAATAGCAAGTTCTGATCTTAATTCAGGCTCTCTTTAAATGTAAGAGTCTCCACATTTTCTTTTATATTATTATCCATATAGGCAATACACTTTTAACTTATATTTGTTTTTTATGTATTGTATTCTTGTCATAGGTGTCAGCTGTACCCAAGGCGATCTCAGCAGCAGCAAGTCCCTGTGGTGGATTTCCAGGCGGAACTGAGACAGGCATTCTTGGCTGAGACACCAAGAGGTGGTTAAAGCAGTATTGGAACATCCAGGTAGCTAATAGCCAAGTGAAAAACCAGGTTAGAACTGATACAGTCATGGTTAGGAATAAATAAATGGTGTGTTTGGAGGTCAATTATTTGGGATACATTAAAATAAATCTTTTAAAAATATTTCACATTGTTTTCTTAAAACAGTCACACCCGCAGAAAGTTTAAAAAAGTAAAAGCAAGCAATAGAACCTTGATCTTTTTAACGTGGCACTTTCTCAGTCATTTGTAGTGTATGCTTTTTAGGTAGTTTTATTACTACCTAATTTCCATTGATTTTTCTAATTAACATTGTATAAAAATACTGCATTATATAAATGACTGCTTTAATATTGAATGTTTTGTAGTTAACTTTTGTGAGAAACTTCATCTTTTTCTGGTAGTTTCAATAAAACTTTAGTCAACTGCTGAGAATAACAGATTAGGATCATTTCCTCAGGTACGCAGATATGAAAATAAACTGAATTAGAAATATAAGCTTAGGTACATTTTCTAAATTGTTTTACAAAATATTAGTCTGTGTTGCCTTGAGAAAATGGAATGCTAGTCACAATACGCTTTTACCTGTATTGGTTGTTTTAATTATATATCATTTATGCCTACTGAATGATAAATACACATCACATTCATAATCAAATAAGCTAAATATTTTCCCATGCATGTTTACTAATTTTCCTTTTTTGTTCTGTCTTTTTTTCATTTTTCATTTCCAACAATGTATTTGGATCAGCTGACACTGTATCAATGTGTTTGATTCAGCTGACAGTGTAATAAAAATATTATCCAGGATTTTTTCAATGTGATGTAGATTTATTTAGTGTGTCTTTTTATGTTTTATGTGAATTTTTAAAAATTTTAAGATTTGAATGACTGTAATCCAAAGGGTTTAATATACTTTTTAGAAACTAGGAGAGGACAGGGGCTTATAGATGAGTTTCCTTCTAGATTTTCTTTATTTCTGCTTTGGTGTATTAAACCTCAACTCACAATAATTAGGATTGTTTATAGCCACTATTTTGAGTTTTAAAGTAACGGATGAAAAACAGATTCTCTGAGAAAAATTCTCCTGCTGAATCCTTTACTCAGCATTCTCCACTAATTACCTGGAGTTGATTACAGGGCATTGGAATTGATTTAAGCAGTGGAATCTTATCTTTGTCCCCAGCTGTTCCCCAGAGAAAGGCCATTTTTAAATATGTTAGAATAGTTGACTATTTTTTTTAACCAGGAATTTTTTGGCTCTTCTGTGCAGTTCATATCCTCTTGTAAGTTCTAAGTACAATTTTATTTATTTACTTACTTACTTACACGAGACTCAGACTTAATGACCCTGAGATCAAGAGTCACATGCATTACCAACTGAACCAGCCAAGGATCCCTATATATTATGATCTGTAAGTAGAATCCTCTGATTTTCTGATACCATGATTTATTCTAGTTTCAAGTGCTAGTTAACAGCACTAGTTTCTAGGATTATTTTAGAACAGGTTAGTAAGGTAACTCACTGTTTTTGTAAAGGAAATTGTATTGGCACACAGCCATGTAACTTTATGTATGGTCTGTAGCTGTATTTGTAACTACAGGAGAAGACTGGAGTGGTTGTGACAGATTGAATGGCAGGCAAAGCCTGAAATACTATCTTCTCCATTTTAAAGCAAGTTCTCTCTTTCTTAGAGAACCACATTTAAAGATGAAAACACCAGGTTGGGACAGTTGGGGAATGGTGAAACTATAGAAGATAATGATGAGAAACGGTTATAGGAAGGAAGGTATATGAAAGTAAACATTAGAGAGTAGGGAACCAGATGAATTTCTAGAAAAAGGTCCAGTCTAAGAATTGGGTTAAAGAATCTGGTCTTTTTTTTAAGATTTTATTTATTTATTCATGAGTGACACACACACACACACAGAGAGGCAGAGAAACAGGCAGAGGGAGAAGCAGGCTCCATGCAGGGAGCCCGACGTGGGACCCGATCCCTGGACTCCAGGACCACGCCCTGGGCTGAAGGCAGGCACCAAACCACTGAGCCATCCAGGGATTCCCTAAAGAATCAGGTCTAAAGAATATATGTAGATGGATAGTTTTAAAAGACATTTTAACAATTGACAGAAAAAACAACAACATAGGTTTCTTTTTTACTATAGAAATCTAAAGCATCCAAGCGCTATCCAAGAAAAATGGGGAAGTAACCCAAAGATTTTAAAATCCATGTTTCAATCACAGTGCAAGATTGAATTTTCTTTCATTTTGCCCATTTGCTTTTTTTAGTTGGAATCGTGCCTTTAAATGATTTTATTTTGTGTTTATTCCACTTAAATGTATATCATTAATGCTTCCTCATTTAATTGCAATGAATAAATGACAGTTTATTCATGATTTGCTTTTCCCTTGTACTTGTTTTTTTCTAGTTTGCTATGCTTTTATAAATATTAGTTATATATTTTAAAGATATATTTGGTATCTTAAATTTATTAGGATAAAGATCCAATTGTGGAATGTAGGGTATACATATTAGTATGACTCTTAAATGTTCTTTTATTTTGCTTTCTGACAGCATCATAAGCACTGTCAATTGCCATCCAGAATAATTACTTATTAGCACAGTTTCTCAGTACCATCTTTGGTGTCTTTTTTTTTCCTTTGATAAATAGTTCCAAAAATGGAAAATTGGTGTGTGTGTGTGTGGGGGTTTAATTGGCATTGTTTTGTGGATGAATATTTTCTGTTTATTTGTGTTTTCTTTTACTTGTTAAAGGTTTTTGTACATTTTCTGTTAAGGATGTGATATTTTACCAGATTTAAATGAGCACTAATAGATTCCCATTATTACATGATTTCTTATTTGTTCTATTATGTATCTTGGCCAAGTTTGACCACTTTATCTTTTCACTTAGGTTTTTATAAAGATTAAACATTTTAAAGTCCAGACTTTCTAGAAGTTAGAACTTTTGTGAGGAATCTTAGGAAGTTTGAGTTCGGGACTTGGAGCCGTTTGTTTGCTTATATGCTTTTTAATGTGAGGAGATTTATCATAACCATATAATCAGTGCAGTGTTATGTTCCTGCTCTTGTGCTCTTCTTCTTGAAGCATTTTGTCTTTCGCTATGGAGGTAAATTTGATCAATCTGCAAAGTGATAGTCTTTTCTCTTACAAGGGTTCATGATTATGGTGTACTAAATTAGGGATAAGAGATAAACTGTTTCTAAATTTTAGGTGCTATTCTTTAAGGGAAATTTTTTTTAGCCATCCCAGTTAACCCCTATTCTGATTTGCACATAAAATGTATGTCTTAGTTTATCAAATATTTTACATTAACTACATAACTACACCTAATTTTTTATAAATTTACTGACTTTTGAAACCATTGCCAGGTAATTTGGGGACTCTATATTACCAAAGTACGATCCCTCGTGCTCCTTTACATACATTCCCTGTTTCCACCACCAACTTCAGATTACCATTTAATTTGTGTTTCTATGTATTTTTTTTATTTCCGTAGAGAATCTACTTTGTTACAATAGATTGATTTTATATTTTATTTTTTTTTATTTTTATTTTTTTAAAGGAAATTCCTCATATGGAGCTTCCTTTTTTTTTTTTTAAATTTATTTATTTATGATAGTCACAGAGAGAGAGAGAGGCAGAGACATAGGCAGAGGGAGAAGCAGGCTCCATGCATGGAGCCTGACATGGGACTCGATCCTGGGTTTCCAGGATCGCGCCCTGGGCCAAAGGCAGGCGCCGAACCGCTGCGCCACCCAGGGATCCCAAGATTTTATATTTTAATAGATATAATATAAAAATGAAAATTGCTAATCTAAAAAATATACAAGTATATTATACAAGGATTTAGACTCTGTTTTATAGATTATCCTTTCAGGACTCAGAACATCCATATTATAGGCCTTAAACTAGTCATGTGAGCATGGGTTAGAAACTACATTTTTATAGGGAGGGTATGAATAGATCTTTAGAGATCATCACATGTCAGTTTTATGCAAAACATAAATTTGTGTACAAATTTTGGATGCTACAAAAGGAGGTCTCCTTGATGTCATTGTATGTTTGAAGACATAAATTGGGTAGATGGGAGAAGCAGCAAGTGAATAGATACTATAGACAGTTAAGATAAATGTTAGAGAAGTATGGACAGTGTTGAGGATGTATATAGGTAAGTTGTCATTCAGAAAAAAATGTACAAAACGTACATGGCAGTTTGCATTTGGAGAACAAAATTTAAGAGGTACTCTGGGTAATGGTGAGGAATTTATTTTTTAGACATTCTGATACGCCCAGTTCTCATACATTGTATTTAACTGCCATCAGATTTTTGTAATTATAAGGAAACCTCTACATCTTACACTCTTAAGTGAATAATTTCTTTCATGCTATTATGTTCTTTTCTGATGTAGTATTCTATAGTTCCACATGGAAAACTATCCTCAACACATCCTTTACCTTGTTTCGATGTTACACTTCACAACCACAGCTTAAATGATTTTATTTTCACATCTTGAAATAGATAACTCATAATTTATTTAACGAGTGTATTTTGCTGGTTGAAAGGTGTTTCTACTGAAAATAGAAGAAAGATTTTACTGGAAATAACTATTGTTAAAAGTAAAATTACATCAGATTTTGCTTATGATATGGGGCTACTTTTATGCATAAAGCCAAATTCTCTTTAAAGTCTTATTTGTCTGTTTACTTTTCAAATAAGTATAATTGGTAGTTTGAGACCCTTTTCCAGTTTTGACAATTTGTTTGCCATCAAGCATTTTCATTCATATAATGGGAAGAACAACACTTTTGTAATATTGCATATTCTTTAGATTACTAAGAAAGTTCCCCATATATCCACATAAGGTATTCAGTTGTTTTGTGTTCTAGTTTAATGTACAAAGTCAAAAGCAGGTATACATGATGGTGTATAACGTAGTATTATTTTGAAGAGGTTTCGGCTGGGGCAAGGGAGGGAGTCAGGGGGTCATTGAAATTGAAAATATTTAGGTGCTTTAGCTAAGAAGCAAAAGTTTTAACCTAACTCCTAACTGAGCGGTGTAATTCAGACGTGTAAAACGTATGTAAAATGTTGACATTGAGATGACATGGGACCAGAGAAAAAAGAGCTACACCTAAAATAAGAATGGAAAGAAAAAAGATTATATTTTTGGAATGGGAAATGAAAGTGATTTTGAGGCCTATAAAATTTCTGTATAAAACAAAAATTATTTATAAACTTTGTCGATTTTAGGTGCACAAACATGGAGATTAAGGTGAGAGAATAATGAAATTTTGTATACACTGAGTGGGTATAAGAAAATGGGAAGTGAAAAAAAAATGAGAAGTGTTTTTGAACATGTCTGTTATAATGATTTTCATGAAAAGTTGTCTACCTGTTTTTAAACATGGTAGATTGCAGTGCAGCTAGATCATGCTTTCCTCTACAGGCTCCATCTACTGTTTGAAGCTTCTGCCCCAAGCTTGCATTGTTTGTAGGAGAACCTGCATCATACCTTTATCTGTAGCCTTCCCTTAGGTCTTAAGGATCCTGAAACCTAACTGTGGACATTGGATTTGGTGGAACAGCAACCATGGTAAGATGTATATTAAGACAAAAGAGTGAAAAACTACTAGAAGGGCTTAATATAATGATTTGCCATAGTGTGTAGGGTATCTTTGGGTTTTTAATGTTAGAAATAAGGAATCAGTTTTATTTGATATTTTATGTCTTGTCCTGTTGTAGTGATAAAATGGTTGAAAACATCTTAAGAGGAATCTTACATGTGAGAAAATACAGAACAGAGTTTTGGTTATGATTTACAATAGTAAGGGACTATCCTGTGGATGGAGGATTCTTATGTTAAAATAGACATGGAGTCTATTTAGAAAATGGAGGGCAGTCTGTAGAGAGATAGAACATCCTAATCAGTTTTGTGGTTCTGTTAAACTTCAGATAACTTACAGCATGTATTAACAAGATGGATATACCAAGGCAGCAAAAAAACCTAATTTTGAGAGGTGGAAGGAATATTAGATTTTATAATAGCTTGCGGTCTTTCTAAGGACTATAGTAAATGAATAGAGGTATGGTATGGTATTATCAGCATATTAAAATTTCAGCGGAGTTAGTGACATAGGATAAAAGTATTTTTAAAAGGTGACGTAGTAGGATAAATGAAACAAATATTTGAGAAACACTGATCCACATTCTGAATGGGAAGGGATGTGGGGTGTGATGTAACTATGATAAAGGTCTTGGGGAACTAAATAGTACTTTGTAATTGCATTGGGTTGATGGGGATTGGAAAGTTTTTGATGGATGTAGGAATTTTCCACTGCTTGTCTGGGGGCCTGGGGGAAAGAAATAGTCCATAGGATCAAGTGTTCTGAAAGAGGGTGGTGTTTGGGATTAAAATTGGGAAAGGCAAGGAATTAGAATGATACAATACTAACGGGAAACTAGATTTGTGAATCTGTGGGAAGAAATATAGTTAGGATGATGGGAAACTGCATAGGGTGACATTTTGAGAAGTAGAGGGTTCTGCAAAGGAATATAGATGTCCTGGTCCTAAATTTGATCCAGTATCTTGAGACTGTGAAAGGGATTTTTAGAGAAAACATGGGAGGGAGGCTATGGTAAGGAAACTCAAACTTGGCTTGATAAAAGAGTAGGGAAGACATGATGTGGAGATTTCTAACACAATTGCAGGCAAGCTAATGACTGACAACTTTTCTTATTCCTTTCAGACTGTTGGAAAGAGCAGCAAGATGCTGCAGCACATTGACTATAGAATGAGATGTATCTTGCAAGATGGCCGAATCTTCATTGGCACCTTTAAGGCTTTTGACAAGCATATGAACTTGATCCTCTGCGATTGTGATGAATTCAGGAAGATCAAGTAAGACCACTCTAGATTTGGTTAGTGGGAGACTGAGGAAGAGGGTCATAGGACTGAGGGATTATAGGCGGTAATTGTGAAGGGAAGGAAGGAAACTATGGAAGGACTAGCTTATTGCCTAACCCTCCTTGAACCATCTCTGAATTGGATCAGAAACTCTCAGTCTTAGAGTCACTGTATTTATACTACTTTTCTAATTTTGCAAACATAATCATGAACTTAATTTAGAATAGAACTGCTCAGCATGAGCAGAGTACCAGAATATGTTTATTTAAAAAGTTAAGAAATGTTGTCAATAGGTTAAGTTCTAAAAAAAAAAAAAAAGAAAAAAAAAACAGATTGGGTTCTGTAGCATTCCTTCAGGCTGAAGGAATCTTTAGAAGAATAATTTGCTCTTAATGGTTGAGGAGTTTGGGATATGATTAGCATACTCCAGGCTAGGAGTATACTAACATTTGTTCTCCTAGCTTCTTTGCATGCTCCCTTGTTTTGTCTAAATAATCATGTACAGTGCTGATTTGATGTCCGTTCTTAACCCACTTCACTTATTTTGTGATTTGCTCATTTCTTTTGTTCAGGAATAACCTCTGTATTTGTGCCTTACACCATTAGTCTACCCTCTTTATACCTGTGACCAGGGAGTTTCCTTTTACAGGCTACTCAATGACCATTTGCAACAAGATCACAGAAATTGGTGGATATTAGTGTGGCATCCTACTTCCTTCCACTCTGTTGACTTTTCCAGAGCATTTGAGTTGGTGATTGTAGTATCTCTGGACATCCGAGATCTTGGGTTGATTTACTTTATTTCCACAGTCAATGATGTTCTGTCCAGAAGTTTAATTTGCCTACTTCACCTAGGTTTGTTAAATGTGAAGAAAAAGGTGATGCTCAGCATCAGTTGTCTGCTGTACTCTTTAAGACTTCACTTGTCAGGCAAATTTGAAGAGAATTCTAAATCTATTCCTCCTCTTTCCTTTTCATGTATTCTAAGTGTCCTCCCAATATACCAAGTAGGATTATTTCAGAAATTCTAGGATGGTGAATATTTGTGTTTTGTTTTAAATAATTCAAAATTTTCCTGAAAATAGAACAAACCCAATGATGTTGAAAATTGTGAAGATACTTCATGAGAGTTTTAGGCATATGGATTTCTTTGTTTCACTATTCTCACTAAGTTATAGTGATAATTTCACATGCATAATGCTTTAAACTGTGCATTATTCTCTGGTAATATATAGAGAGGGTTGTTAAATGGCATTATCAATTGATTTTATCTGTCTTATGTATAAACCTCATGAATGTATGATTTTTGCTGCTGATAGTTGTTATTGTATGCAAGGTTTCTCTTTTTTAAATTTGTTTTTAATTCCATGTGGTTATATAGTAGGTGGTAAAGCCAAGAATACAGATGCATCTCTATTACTCAGAACCTTTTTTTCTTTATCATTTGGTATGACCTCATTGCCTGTTCTTGTTACTGTTTTAGTTGCCTGTCATCCAGATTTACTTAAGAATGATGTACAAAACTTACTTCCTTTTTTTTTCTTTTTTTTCTTTTTTTTTTCAAAACTTACTTCCATTGGCTACA